TCTAGGAGCCATAGCTAATTTACTTACACCTCCTAGATGTCAACCAAATCAGGAGTAAGAACCAAACTAGAATCTTCACCCTTAGAAAAAGTGTTAAGATATGACTAATAACATGCTTTTAAAAGAGATCAGTCTACAGAGATGAGAACTCAGCCTGATGCACCACCATGAACTCTATGTGAAAACCACATGGCATATTGGCAGTGAACTCTTGGTAGGAGATCCAAAGAGAGAGAGTAGAAATGTTGTTCCTTGAAGGAGAAGAAACATAATCTTGATCATTTGTTTTACTGTAATTCTCTAATTTGAGTGCTAGTATTTCTAAGATAAACTAGCGTGTTTATACTTAAAGCTTCTTTGTCCTGAACCAGTAGGATGTCATTATATATAAACACAATATTATGAAAACCTAAATTATCCTAATCAAGTGCATAAAATGAAGACATTAACGTTTAAAGCTGAATCGTATCATGTTGCATTGAGTATATGTAATAACAGATTATATGATTATATTGTATCATAAAAGTAGCTATGATACTACATAAAAGTAGCTTAAAATGAAGGTGGGGAGTAATAACACTGCAATTCTGATGTGTTATTAACCATCCTGTTTTGTGGTTCCCAAAATCTGCAGATTTCAAATTATTTGCCAATTGCCCTATATTCTGGAAGGCCACCACCGGACAGCTGAAGACAATGGGACAATGATGTCCCAACAGCACAAGCTTAAAGGGTAGTCAGATTTCTCCAAAGAAGATACACAAAGGGCTGATGAGCACATGTAAAGATGCTCAATATCATTAGTCATCAGTGGAATGCAAATCAAAACCTCAATTAGATACCATTTAACACCCCACTTGGATGGCTATAATCAAAAGACAGATAATAACAAGTGTTGGCAAGGATATGGGGAAATCAGAACCCTCCTGCCCTGCTGTGGGAATGTAATATGGTGCAGCTGGACATTTATTCAAATGATTACACAGAGAGTTACCATTTAATCTAGTAATTTCACTCTTAGGTAGATAACCAAAAGAAATGAAAATATGTCCACTCAAAAAAAATGCACTTACACACAAATGTTGATAGCAGCATTCTTTATAATAGCCAAAAGGTGGAAACAACTCCAACTGACCACCAGTTGACGAATAGACAAACAGAATGTGATATATACGAAGATGGAATAATGCATGTTATTGTAAAAGGGATATAATACTAATGCATGCTACAATATGAATGAACCTTGAAAGCACTATGCTAAGTGAAAGAAGCTAAACACCAAAGGTCACATATTATATGATTCCATTTCATGCAGTGTCTAAAATAGCCAAATCAGTAGAGACAGAAAGTGGATTAGTAGTTTTCAGGGACTGGAGGAGGGGATGGAATCTCTTGGCGAGTGAGATAGCTAAAGGTTACTGGTTTATTTTTTGGGGCAATAAAAATTTTCTAATACTGATTTTGATAGTCCATGAGTCTGTAAATATACTAAAAACAAGGAAACTGTATACTTGAAATGGGAAAATTGTATGTATGTGAATTATATTTTTAAATCTGTTAATCAAAAAAGCTAATCAGAAAACTGCAGGAGAGAAAAAACTCAAGAAGATATTTTTCAAAGGTTGCAACTTTCTGATCTTTGGGGAATACGTGATAGGATAGATTCTGAAAAGAAGGCCCTCAACAACATTTCTGAGAGTTTAATTCTAGTGTCTAAGAAACTGGGCAGGTGTTCCTGTTGGAAAATACCCAGTGCACCAAATCTGAAATTCAAATATTTAGATGCAGTGTAAATTGCCTGGTAAACAGTAATAATGTCCCTAGAGAACACACAAATTATATAACCAAACCATCTTGAAGGAGAATATCTGTGACAAGAAAATGCATTCCTGCTTATCCAGCCATTGAGGTCTCCTGGATTAAGTCATATTTGGAGACTATTAAAACCATCCAAACAGAGAGAGAGAGAGTTGTTTTATCCTGTCCAGGATCACAAGATTCCAGGGTGGAGAACCCTCTCCATCAACCCAGGTATTTTCTAGATGAGAAGACCAAAGCCCAGCATGAGAAACTCCCTTTGCCATGGCCCCTAGCTCGAAGTAGCAGAGTGAAAACTCAGCCCAGAGCTCTGCCTCCTCACCTCCACATCCTCTTGACCCATGCCAGGACTCCTGAAATGAGTGTGCACCAAGCTCATCAGCAAAGAGTAGATGGACACTCCTGGTTTCTCCAGCATTTGTGCTCAGATTGTGGCCACCTCTGCTGTGCTGCAGGGCAAGCTGGGACGAGGGTAGGTCAGGGATAACCACTCCATAACTTACTATTTTCCAGAGAATATTTCCATCTAAAGATTTCCCTTAAGCAGGACTCTTGTGCATGGGCCTCTCATTTCTGGGGTTGTTCCTTCATTTCTGTTCAGTAAAAGCATTTATCCAGGGCTCCAAATTCCCCATCCATCATGCACTTTTTATCCAAGTGGGAACAGACCAAAGCTCTGAAGTACAGGCTTAGCATGCCCTGCCCTTTGCGGGCTGCCCCCCATCTATTTAGCATCATTTAGTTCATGGGTTTCCACAGACAGCCAGGCATCTGTGAGGACTAAGCAAGTTTGCACTGGGTCTGCCAAGTCAAACAGAATTCAGGCAAGAGCCCGCTTGCCAATGTTCATCATTCTCCACCTTGGCCCCAGTCAACAATCTGAGCTTCTCCCCAATTCTTGATTACACATATTAACAAAAACATGTGTTCACAGCAATAGAAATTGCAAAACATTCTCAGTGTCATAAACAAAGTGGAAAAGTGAGTCTCCTCTGCTCTTTCAGCCACTCCAAAGCTGCTCATCAACCATCATTTCAGAGTTAAGCCACTTGGCCCCAGTCACACAGCAATCAGGGAACGAACAGACTGGTTCTCAGTCTTCTAACTCCAAGCCTGTGACTGACATGTGTGTTTCCTACACCAAAATGCGGGTCCACGTTGTGCACATAAAGCAGACCATGAGTCTATCCTCAGCTGGAGTCTTGCTCATGACTGAGTCTTGTTGATTCCAACCTAAGACCTTCCATCAGCACGGAGATCAGAGGTGCCCAGGATGACAGGAGAACAGTGAATTTGTGACTAGGATGGGGAGGATAAGCAGCCAAAAGTTCCATAAGTTCCCTCTGGGACAACAACAGCCTCCAGAAAAGAACACTTCTCAGGCCATGTTGTCATCCCAAGTCTATCCTCTTGGGAACATGCTCCTATCCTGCTAGAAATGCCTATGTCACTGGGATGTGCTAAGGAGATCTACAGGCTCAACCAACAGCCGGATTTGACATAGGATTTCTAACTCCCTTTCAGCTCTGGGACTAATACGATGGCAATGACCATGACAACCCCAATATATGGATTGCTCATGTAACATTTTTAAGTGAAAATGTTAAACTAGCCCAGTTAGCAAAATTAAAAGAAAACAGTACTTTTTCTATGAATTCAATTCAACAATAGTTTGTTAAGTACTTGCTCTATCTCAGATTTTGTGCTTTGCCATGAAGATCCAAAATTGAATGAAGACATGAAACCTAACATTAAAGAGCTCACAGTCTAGCAGAAGAAACACAGGTACATATAAGTGTGCAAGCACACACACACACACAATCTAACATGATTGGGTGAGGGTGACTGGATGGAGGTGCACAGTACTGTGAGCACAGAATGAGAGCCATATGTGTTGAAAAAAACCTTCAAAAAGAGGTGACATTTGAGCAGAGAGAAAGTAAGAAAACAAATTTGGTCTTTGTACTCTCGCAAGGACACTTTAATAATTCTCTGAACCCATGGCTCCTAGCAATAAAATTTTAGAAGTATGGTAAAGACAGCACAGCCATGCTCCATGCCCCAGCCTGCTTTTGTGGAGACACAATGCAATTTCTTTCCAGAAGAGAAGAGAACAGGAGGTTTTTAAGTCTCCACATGGCCTTTGAGGCTAGTAGATAAAAACGTCCCATGAAATGCATATAATGTCTTTCCACTTACTCAAATATTTTTGGACTTTATAATCTGCCTGGAATAATCTTGTTTAAATCAATCATCAGTGATTTCACTGTTGTGACTGGAGCTAGTATCTTTTATTGATTAAGTTTTCCAGTTGGTAATTGCTGGCAAATTTAAAATAGCATTGATTTTCTATCTTGTGTCTGGACACCTTGCTATTAGTTTTAATAATTGTTTGGTTCTCTTCTTCTTTGTTTTTCTAGGTCTATGATAATACCAACCACAAATAATGACACTTTTCCTTTTCCTTATACCTCTCATTTTTCTTACCAATAGCATTGGCCATCACCTCTAGTATTGTGCTAAGCAATGGTGATAGTTAGATCCTTTGGATTCTTTCATTTTGTATGTGTGTTAGTTTCTAATACTAGTGTTTCCTGCTAGAGTCTATAGTTTACTGGGAATGACTTTTGGGAACAGCACCAGAAGTCTGTATATAGTACATCAGTTTGACATCTCTCCCTCGCTCTTTCTGCTTCTTCAAACTGGCTATTTTTCAATTTTTTGAAAGTTTCATTCTTTTTCCCATCACTAGTCATTTGCATTTTTTTTTCTTACTGTATCAAGCTCTTTATTTCTCTTTTGGGACTCCTTTCAAATGATTTATTTTTACAAAAGCCATTCTTGATCTGCACCAAACTGCATCTGATCTATTCACTTTACCCTCTCTCAGCACCCCGAACTCCTCAGTTCCAATTAAGTAATAACAATTTAAATAACTTAAAATTCAATTAACTAATAATAATGGTTTAATATTTATCTCTTTCACTAGATTATAATTTCCATAAAAACGGGAGCATGTTTAACTTATTAGCCAATATGTTTTTAGCATTGTCATGCACATGGTAGATAACAAAAGTTTACTGAACAAGCAAATAAGGGAATAGTTTATTACAAATTTAAAAAAATCAAAGAATTTGTAAACCTGAATAATTTTAAAACTTTTACTAACTTACTTCTTTTTATATGCTATTCTTATATTCAGTGACTTCTCTCAATTTAATTTTTAAAATTATTCAATTAAGTTTTGCTATAAACATATGTAAGTGTAACCTGTCCACTTGCCAATGGCAAAATTGGTGCACTCTACCCCAACTTACGTGCACACATATGCATGCATCACAGTTGTTCATCTATTTCCCAAAATCTGTATTTTAAGACATTAAGAGTAGTGTTTTCTTGACTGAAAGAATAATGATTCGCTGTTGACAAACTTTTTAACAGAAGCTCCCATAGTAGACAGAATGAGCATGGTTGGCCCTTGGCTTCAAGCCCTAAGTAAACATAAACTTCCCCTGATTAGACTGCTGGATTTTTAAACTTTCTTATTCTTTTTTGAGGTAGCAATTCCATTCTAAAAAGACTTTGTTTTATGTTGTTAAGGCAGACTAATAATTCCTTTAACCTCTCAGTCCCTGGTGGTGTCTACAACTCTTTCTTGTGCCTCTCTGCACCTTGTTGGTCTTTCTCTTGATGAGCTGGACATACAAGACTGTTAGTTGTGTCTGCCCCTCCAGCCTGCATACAACCTTTATCCTTGATGGTGGCTACCATGGTGGTAGTCCCTGGCTGGAGCGTTCAGCACATTTCATGGATTTGCTTACTTAATTCTCCAAATGACCCATTTTCCTATTAAGAAAACAGAAGAAAATGATATTTAATAATTTGCCTAAGAGCCTGCACTTCTAATCACTAACCTAAACTGTCTCCCCTAAACAGAGCTCTCTAAAACTCAAATACCTATCCTTTAAAAAAGAAAATCAGGTAAATCAAACATCTTAAGGAGAGTTCTTAAATAAATTCCATAGAGGAAATACAAACACACTTTAGTACTTTACAAAGCAACTTTCCCTCCTAGACTCTCTCAAGATTTATACATACAGACAGCCTCGCATGCCTCTTTTTTGTCCTCTTTCACCAAAATAAAAATGTTTTAGGCACACAATAAATTGTGGAACGGAAGAAGAAATTTAGATCCTACTTTCTACTCTTTAGCAACCAGAAATCCTACCTCAAACCCTCAATAAATGAGGAAGCCTCAGACATTCATCAGGCAATAACGTTTGCAGAAAGTTCATTGCATCAAAGACCCAGATGCAGTCTCAGTCCGCTTCTTCCACACTCACCCACCATTTATTCCTCATTGACTAAGCCTAAGATCTATAGGTAAATAGAGAAAATTATGGTAGCAAACCTGAGAATTTTCTAGTTAACGAATAAGGCTTTACTTAAGTTGACAATAAGATCCTAAATTGGTGGATCATTTGTTATATAATTACAATGTATGAATCTAAGCAAGGTATTATAATTATGACACCAGTTTAATAATATATTAGTTTTTGCCTGGACTCCATGGCCTAATAATAAGAATGTATGAGTATCTAACACATTCACTAAAATTCAAACTTATTTTCTTGTATATACCCACAAGGAGTTGATGCAAACCCCACTGAAACAATTTATTAAATGTGATGCTTAACCTGATACATGAATCATGAATGACTTCCTGATTTTTCCTGTTAACAACATTAGCCAGCATCCACTTGTTAATTCTAGCACCAGTATATTAAGCCAATAGTCCGTAGTCTACATAGTATGAACAATGTCTGTTTAATCTTTAGCAAGAGTTCAGCCATTATTTATGACTCACATGCACAGGGGCACATTATATAGATTTAAGTAGAGGTCATCTCAGAGACTAAATCAATAGCAAAGTTAGTTGGCTGAAATTCATTAGGGATGAACAGTATTTGCCTGATTATGCAAAATTTCTAAGATTTTTCTATTTCTGTATCAGATGTCAGCTTTACTAGCTACAACTCTTTGTGCACTGATTATTTTTAAATTAATGATGCTAAAAGGATTTTGATGTTTCAAGCTTTGTACACAAATCTAGCAGGCAAAAATCTTCCGTAAGCGTATTCTAAGCTCTTGGCAAACTTTCCTCAGGAGCAAATATTAACTTGAGATAGTGTTTATCAGCATTTATAAAATAATCACCGTAATAGTGGCATGTAATTGGTAGAGGTAAGTGCTTTTCTAAGCCAGGAATTAATCACATTTGCCCTCTTTAATAGGACCTGGTCAGAAATAATTTATTTCTTGCGCGGTTTACATTTTAAATAACAATGTGATTTTCCCTGATTTCATGAAGACGCACTTCACCCTGCCTGTGCTGTGAGCACTGGAGCATGGAGAAGTGAATTCTGTATTATATAACACAGATAAAGGCTATAAGAGACTCTGTGATTTGACTTTTTATCCTGTATCTCCGAGCCTGGCCTAAAACTTACAAATAGAGATTCTTCCAAATTAAACAGTCATTATGCTTCCATATTTATGAAGTATTTTTTGCTGTTTTCCTACATCCTAAGAAGTACATCCTGATGCAAAACACCTGCTCCCCATAAGGTCATCCAGCCAACTGACTCCAGAAGAGAAGAAATGCTGTCAAGTTATTCAGAAGCACATTTGCAAGCAATGTAGGCTTCAGGAAAAACAAAAAGGCAAACAATCGTTCCCAGTGGGCAATTTCCAGCAAGCAAAGGGAGTGACTGTTTATAGGCAAGAGAGGCCACTGCAGAAGAATGGGGTGAGACTGAAAACACAAACAGGCAACGGCCAAAGCATATATAAAATAGAATTCTGACCACAACCTGCAGTGGCCAGATCAAGAAATCAGCCCCCTCTCTACAGTAAACAGTCCAGGAAGCCAGCCTGTTGGAAGTCAGACTTGCAGGAAGCCAGGTAGCTATTTCTAGGAACAATCCAGGGATCTAAACAATAACTTCCGTAACAATTGGCCCCAAATGGCCAAGACTTGATTAAAGAACTGACAGCTTCCCTAATTTTTGTCCCTTCTTCCAACTTAAGACCAACCAGAGAAAACCAATTATGTGCCCCAGACCAATCCCATAGGAGGCCCTGCCTCTAGTGAGCCACCTCTGGCTTCTTCCTGCCAACAGCCTCCAATTGGGGCACACTGGAAGCCTCCCTATTCTAGCAGGAAGCTTTTCTGCTCCTCTGCCGCCTTTGAATCTCTGCCAAAATGAAAATGATGGTGGTTGACTCCCTTGCAAAGAGCAAGTTCAGGATAAATAGCCTTTGCTTCTTCTCATTTGGCTTGTCATCATTTATTTCCAGAAATGAAATGCTCTGCCTGGCTCTTTTGTGTCTGGAGAAGCAGAGATGGGTCAAGGGGACCTCAAATATTTTCCCTCTACCTCTCTTCTCCTCCTCTTTAGCCCTCAGTTGCTAAGATCCATCCCATCCCACTGCTCAGAATCCGCTTCTCTGCTGCAATTGTCCCAAACAGAAAAGGTCTGATCAGTTTGGCTAATCATTGGCTGGAGAGGTGTGTTCCTCTGTGAGCAAACTTTGAGGCAGACATAGACCCCTGTTCCAATGACATAACTGTGATGTTGAGATTCATTTTTCTTAGAGCACATGGATGCTTTTCTGAGAAATGATTTATAGAGTTCAGAAAAAGCAAAGACAAAAAGCATAAAGTAAAAATTCCATGCCCACAGAAATAAGATGGAACAAACAAAATAAAACTGCCCGTAAGCTTAAAAAAAAGTGTTTAACTGCCACGGTGTGAAATCCAGAATCACATGAATTAATACATAAATTGTGTTCTATTTGTTTTGTGAAGGTGTGGAATTGTCCATTTTTCAAGATAGAAATATTGTTCGAATGCAAATGTTGAGCTTCTTGATGAATCTCCGCTGATAAAGAAATGTAATCGGTGTGTAATCACGCTACCCCTACCAGGAGAGCATCTGGTTGACTCACCTGCCTATGAGAACTTCTTAATTCACACTGATGTGTCACAGTGTTGCAAAATGTTGTTCTCAGATTGCTCACCCTTGTTGATATTTTGATATCTCAGACATGGTCCACTATAGCTTTCTTAGGATCTGCAATTATTTAAAGCAATGTCCAAATAAGAATCACTCCTTGGCAATAGTTTTCACTCCTTGGCAATACGTCACTGGCGACATCTGCCCAAAAATCTTCATTTCTTCATTTCTCCTTCCATCCTTTCCTCCTATTCTCTTCTTTTTCCTTCCTCCTTTTCCCTCACTTTCTCCCCACTATGAGGATTGCTTTTTTTCATCTGATTTTAAATTTCTAAAATAAATAGAACAGGAATCAGCAGTTCCCCAGAACCAAAACGATCATATTTCAGCACACCCTGACACACATCGTCTGTCATGCACCCTGGCACCTACATTCCAATGCTGTTCCACCTTCGGGGGGAGGCAGAAAAACCAGATGTCACCTGGAGACTGCCAATCCAAAAACCTTGACTGGGTCTTCTTTCTTCCACCCTTTGAACTGCATAGAGCCACTGGATAATATTTCTTGATCTCTCATCTGTAAGATTTGGGGGTTGAAAAGATTATCTTTTAGCTTCAAGCTCCAACTCAGGGTTTAAAAGGAAACACAAATGCTGGTAGGAAAATACATTGAGGTACTATATAACTTATTGTCTTAAGCCAGGACATTTTTGAGAGTGACAGACGATGCTATGATAATTTCAATGGGATCATAAAAATGAACCCGGACATCCTGGGCAGACCAGAAAATACTGTCACCTTATCTGTGGGGTACAACGGAAGAGCATCAGGTACTTAAAGATAAGGTCTGTGCACAACACCACAGGCAAGTGCCTCCATCACAGAGAGACTATCCCCACTGTGAACACATTTTTATGCATGAAAAGGGAAGTTGTTTATATGTTTTGTGGTGTGAATGGCCCATATTTTAAAAGCAATGCCTTATATTCACAATGACATATAAGTTGCAAAACCTGTCTATATTAGCTTTCCTTTACATTGACTTCATAATACTCAAACTGCTACTTCTTTGAGGAAACTTAATGATATTACCAAAATCACGTGACTAATGATTTCACCTCTCATGTTCTTCCTTTGCAAAGACAGAGGACGTACTACATCCAGAAAGGATAGTCGAAACAAATAAGACCTCACAGGTAAGCCACCCAACACAGCATCTGGATGTGTGAGGAACTCAAAGACTGCTCGTTTCCCCCTCTTCATTTTTTACTAATACCTTATATGTAATATCCAAACTGCTATATAACTCCTATCAGAAGGAAAGAGCCTTAAAAATCATTAACATGTTATTTTTATGCTTTCCTTTCCAACAATTACACTTAGTATAAACTCTTTTATTGAGAATAAGTTAAAATTAGCATACACTACTTCTGATGAGTAGTAGTATATGAATAAGTTGAGATTAGCATATACTACTTAGTAATGTTAAGTGCCAAGGTGCTTGAATTTCCCACATAGGATGACATTTCCATGAACGAAATGGAAGCTTGCGAAGTCACTACTGCCATGAGGGATTTCGTTGTCAAAGCTAGAAATACACTGTGAAGAAGTCAGAAAAGACCATGTCCCAGTGTCAGAGGCATTTAAACCAGAGCGACTCTATCCTGTTTAGACCCTGAGTAAAATAAGGCTGACACCTACTGGACTGCATTCCCAGGAGGTCAGGCATTGTAAGTCACAGGATGAGACAGGAGATGGACCCAAAATACAAGTCATAAAGATCTGGATGATAAAACAGGTTGCAGTAAAGAAGCAGTCCACAACCCACCAAACCGCCGACCCCGCCCCCTCCCCAGAGTGACCTCTGGTTGTCCTCACTGCTGATTATATGCTAATTATAATCCATTAGCATGCTAACAGACACACCCACCGGGGCCATGACAGTTTACAGATGCCATAGCAATGTCAGGACGTTACCACATATTCCAAAGAAAAGGAAGGAACCCCCAGCTCTAGGAATTGCCCACCCTTTTCTCAGAAAACTCATGAATAATCCAGCCCTTGTTTAGCCTATGATCAATAAAGAACTATAAGTATTCTTAGGCCAGCAGCTCAAGTCACTGCCCTACCCATGGAGTAGCTATTCTTTTACTCCTTTACTTTCTGAATAACCGTGTTTACTCTACAGACTCGCCTTGAATTCTTTCTTGTGCGAGATCCAAGAGCCCTCTATTGGGATCTGGATTGGGACTCCTTTTCTGGTAACAACCATATGACGAGGACCTTGTCCTTGTCCCTAGTACCCCTGAAAGAGTGAAGAGGAGAGAAAATAAAGAAAAGAGGAAAAGGAGTCGGGGGAAGACAGGCTGCATGAGGAGGAAGGAAATGTCAGACTTCTCAATAACTGCCCCATCTGACCCAGGCACACATGAGTGCACACACCCAGAAGGGACATAACTATGTTATTTGGGTGCTGGAATCCTGACTGAGCCTCAGCATTGTGTCCCTGTGGCCTCAGGACATCCCCCCTACTCCCTCCAATGCACGAAGGACCCAACGCACGAAGATGGAGAGTGCCACCCTCCTGGTTCCTCTGCACCTAACCACAAAGGCACTACGAAAACAGGATTTGGTTTCATATTGTTGTTTTTCTCCTTATAAACACAGCCAACTCTGCTGGTAAAAGCGATCTCTGCCTGGGAGGTGCAGGCCACCTGTGCGTGGAGCAGCTCTTCTTCCTCCCGCCCGAGACCCAGCCTCCTTTCCGCAGGTGTCAGCACAGTGGAGCTCTTTTCTGAAGATAAATGTTTATTGTTTCAAAATAGGCCTTCAACAACACGTGGGCCTCAATACTTTTTCCTGTGAGTTGTCCCTTCTCAGAACACTTTCAGGAACACCATCCTATGTTTCTATTTAAACAAACCTTTCTGCTATGGTGTGCACTCACATTCATTTTTAGGTAAATGCAGAAATCTATGGAGGGCTTGCTCCAAAGACTGGTGGAGAATGAATTGAAATTAGCATATCAATTATTGTTACATAAATAGGACTCCTAAGGAGCTTTAAAAGTTTGCTTTGACCAGGCGCTTTACATATTTTTCTGCAATAATAACTTTGTGGTATAGAAAACTTCCCCTACGTAAATATCAACCTCAATCCAACTTTTCTGTAATGTATGTTTTGAAGCCTCCATCAGAGACAGATTTACCAAAAAGCTAAAGTTTTAGGACTTCTGTCCTCCACTGTTTTTTTCCAAGGCCCTTGGAAGGGGATCTCACAATGTATTGATGTTGTTGACAGTTTGTATTTCTGTGATTTTGTCTACAGTCTGTTAAGCCAGCTTGCTCCATCTCTCCACTCCCAGATCCTCCATGTCGTATGTCCTCTGCTCCCAGGTTCTCTTGGCATGATTTGTGCATGTCTGAATTTTGGATAAAAAGAAGAACAATTGGGGATACACTTAGTTTGGGCTTATTGGGATATATTTCTGTGAGTAAGTGCAGGTAAGTCATTGTTTTCTGTCCCAGTGTAGTGAAGGCTTCCAGGAGAATTCCTGCTGCCCAGCTCGCATGGCAGGCTGACATGAAAGTCCAGGCCAGAGATCCTATGGCAATAAAAATGCATCTTATGACATCTGGTGCCAAAAGTATGTGGATCATGGAACAGAAATAACGTTTGACATGTATATAGAGTCAGAAGGTAGACTGTGGGAAATTCTTCTAATTATCAGTCATGTAAAATTGCACAGAGAGATCACAGTTTCCATCAATGCTTATGGAGAAATAGAAGCTCACTCCTATAAGAATACAATCAACAATGCAGCAAATGCAATGATGCATACACCATGCATTTGTTTATGTAAATGCAACAAAAAGAACTTTATCTGAACAGCAATGTGTGCGAGGCAGCTACAGTATAAACAGCAAGGAGATCTGTGTATACAGTTGCATTTTTAATGCATCCCAACCGTCAATAACTAAAATAAATGTTAATCAACTAAGCTAAAAGAAGGTCAAGTTATTCTTCTCCTTTCTCTACGAAAAGATTACAAACTATTGTTTAGCCCTTCTTCCTCGAGCCTCAGACTCAGCTTCCTTTCCCTGGTGGTCAGTGGCATGGAGCTCTTTTCTGAAGGCAAATATTTGCTATTTCAAAATAGAACTTCAAAAATACTGGTGTCCAGTGAAGAGGTGTTTCTTAAGCTATGCAGTCAAAAACATAGAAATGAAAGTATTATAAAGCTATGTCAAGCAGTCATCAAAAGTAATATGCTATTTTCCTAGACTTTTTGGTATTTGTGCTACTTTAAAGCTTTTTAAAATTTGGTTTCTTTTCTCATTCTAAATAAATATTAACTTTCATTTTGTGTCATAATTTTTATTATTTTTCTTTTTTTATTATACTTTAAGTTCTAGGGTACATGTGCACAACGTACAGATTTGTTACATATGTATACATGTGCCATGTTGGTGTGCTGCACCCATTAACTTGTCATTTACATTAGGCATATCTCCTAATGCTATCCCTCCCTGCTCCCCCTACCCCACGACAGGCCCCGGTATGTGATGTTCCCCTTCCTGTGTCCAAGTGTTCTCATTATTCTATTCCCACTATGAGTGAGAACATGCAGTGTTTGGTTTTCTGTTCTTGCGATAGTTTGCTGAGAATGATGGTTTCCAGCTGCATCCATGTCCCTACAAAGGACAAGAACTCATCCTTTTTTATGGCTGCACAGTATTCCATGGTGTACATGTGCCACATTTTCTTCATCCAGTCTGTCATTGATGGACATTTGGGTTGGTTCCAAGTCTTCGCTATTGTGAATAGTGCCGCAATAAACACACATGTGCATGTATCTTTACAGCAGCATGATTTATAATCCTTTGGGTATATACCCAGTAATGGGATGGCTGGGTCTGATGGTATTTCTAGGTCTAGATCCTTGAAGAATTGCCACACTGTCTTCCACAATAGTTGAACTAGTTTACACTCCCACCAACAGTGTAAAAGTGTCCCTGTTTCTCCACATCCTCTCTAGCACCTGTTGTTTCCTGACTTTTTAATGATTGCCAATCTAACTGGTGTGAGATGGTATCTCATTGTGGTTTTGATTTGCATTTCTCTGATGGCGAGTGATGATGAGCATTTTTGCATGTGTCTGTTGGCTGCATAAATGTTTTCTTTTGAGAAGTGTCTGTTCATATCCTTCACCCAGTTTTTGATGGGGTTGTTTTTTTCTTGTAAATTTGTTTGAGTTCTTTGTAAGTTCTGGATATTAGCCCTTTGTCAGATGAGTAGATTGCAAAAATATTCTCTCATTCTGTAGGTTGCCTATTCACTCTGATGGTAGTTTCTTTTGCTGTGCAGAAGCTCTTTAGTTTAATTAGACTCCATTTGTCAATTTTGGCTTTTGTTGCCATTGCTTTTGGTGTTTTAGACATGAAATTCTTGCCTGTGCCTATGTCCTGAATGGTATTGCCTATGTTTTCTTCTAGAGTTTTTTATGGTTTTAGGTCTAACATTTAAGTCTCTAATACATCTTGAATTAATTTTTGTATAAGGTGTAAGGAAGGGATCCAGTTTCAGCTTTCTACATATGGCTAGCCAGTTTTCCTAGCACCATTCATTAAATAGGGAATACTTTCCCCATTTCTTGTTTTTGTCAGGTTTGTCAAAGATGAGATCGTTGTAGATGTGTGGTATTATTCCCGAGGGCTCTATATCTGTTCCATTGGTCTATATCTCTGTTTTGGTACCAGTACCATGCCATTTTGGTTACCGTAGCCTTGTAGTATAGTTTGAAGTCAGGCAGTGTGATGCCTCCAGCTTTGTTCTTTTGGCTTAGGATTGTCTTGGCAATGCGGGATCTTTTTTGGTTCCATATGAAATTTAAAGTAGTTTTTTCCAATTCTGTGAAGAAAGTCATTGGTAGCTTAATGGGGATGGCACTGAATCTATAAATTACCTTGGGTGGTTCGGCCATTTTCACAATATTGATTCTTTCTATCCATGAGCATGAAATGTTCTTCCATTTGTTTGTGTCCTCTTTTATTTCATTGAGCAGTGGTTTGTAGTTCTCCTTGAAGAGGTCCTTCACATCCCTTGTAAGTTGGATTCCTAGGTATTTTATTCTCTTTGAAGCAATTGTGAAT